TAAACAGACTGAGGAGCCGTCAAACAAGGGCCTCAGGCAACATGTAAGGACCCTTTTCTCAGAGGTAAATTTAAAAAGAATAAAACTGAACTGTTTGTTAAAAGTCTGATATGTTTAAACATGAACTCATTACCTTTTCTGTTAATGTTCAGAAGTAGCATCTAAATCTACCTCTTGTAATTTCACAGATGAGATGGGAAGGTTTCAGGCACTTTCTCATGAATAGTCGCCTCAAGCACACCCGGCAGTGCGGGGAAACTGGCCAGGAGAAGAGAAAAACAGTCGGTAAATGGAGCCAATGTGAATGAGGTAAGTGACAGTTTGATGTTATGTGAAGGGATTCGACTAGCAGGTGCTTTGGAGGCTTTTTTAAAACAGACACTTGAACTTTTGTGATTTGTAAAAAAAAAAATTCACGAGCCAAGAACAGCGAGGTAACAAGAGGCAAATAATAAACCTCTCAACTTATTATCACAAATCAACAAGCCAGACCACCGATCACTACTGACTCTTGCATGAGCGCCCCAGAATAATTCAGACCACTGTCACTGAAATAGTCGTGGTGGAGCAATTTCAAAGTCTGTGATTGTGTGATGTGGCCAAAACTCTAACCACAAAGTACTGCAGCAGATCCCTCAAAACATTACCTGGCTTTTCCACTCGAGTGGTTTATAAGCTACAACGGGCAATATCCCTCCGTTAACAAACAATTGTGTTTTGCACGTCTTGATGTTTGGGTGATAAATGCGTGAGATGTGAACATTCGAAATAAGCACCAGAGTTTGTTTGGATTCCTCGCAGTCAAAAAAACGCAGACGGCAATGGAAAAATGCTGCTGACAACCGGTAAGAGATGTGAATCAGCCAATATAAACACATTTCAACAGATTTCTTTTATTCCTGAATATGAGTTGGTTTTATATGTTTGATAAGGGATTTGCTTCGAATTGGGTGTTTGACCTTTTGTGGAAAGTCATTTGAATGTTATTTCCAGGAATGACAGTGACATTGCAATGCGTTCAAAGCATCTTTTTCTGTGGTTTACACAAAAGCTTTGAGACAGTTGCACAGATTCACGAAAGCTCAGCCCGGCCCGGCCGTCTCCATTACGTCTCTGACATGTTGGCTACATATGCTCCCCTGATAGATCATCCTAATCAGTGTTAGCATTGTGCAGACCGTAAACATTTCCAACGTGAGATTAATCTTTCAGTGTGTTTTGTATCTTGCTGTAGTTTGCTGGCGGCAACGTTAGACTGACGAATCTTTTTGGTTTTTCATAGTATCCTGTTTATGATGGTCGTGCTTTGAAATCAAAATTGGTGTGACAATCTATCTAAAAATCTATATTAAGTCTATATTATTTATTTATTTCTCCTGTCAGCAGAAGGCCTGGATCGAATTCTTCTGATTAAAGCTTTTTGTGCAGCGCTGGTGTGGATTTTTGTGATATTAGTCCAGAAACTAAGACTTTTATTACTCCAAATTGCTTCAGAGGGACTGTGTTTGCAATTGACTTACAGTAAATTGCTTAGGATAAATGTCTGCTAAATTATACATTTTAATTTCCGCTTCATTTTATTTGGCTTAATCAAAGATGTTGTACTGAAAGTACTTTGCTCTGCGCCCATTACCTTCTTTCTAGCATACATCAATCTGACATGAAGTAAACATTGTAAACATGACCTCATTGCACAAAATGTAGTGTATGAACTGCCATTGAAGTCATAATCCGAATCAGATAGCGAATAGTAAAAGAATGACCCCGCCCCAGAGCATTTTCTGTCGCTTTAACTTATTCACCGCAAACAAATAAATACAATAGAATGACAGTTTTGAATTTGACAGGAAATAACTGTGGTCGCTCAGACATCGTGAATCAACTGCATACAGAAAATGAGCTTATGGCTTTGCTTGGTCTTGTTTGGATGATGGGTTCCGCTCCACCCAGATACAAATGTTCTGGTTTCTCTGCTGATCCCCAAAACATTTAGTCGTCTTGGTTGTAAACATTTAATTGAGTGTTTACCAAATTGTGGACATGCGTTTATTCGCTTAGATACATTCATAGTTGTTTTGAAGGCCATTTTTAGCCCGTTTAGGTGCGTGTAGAGCTTTTCAGTGATGACGTCAGTTTGAAGGCCAACTTGGAAAGCTACAGTTGTTTGTTCCTTTGGGAGTTTCTAAATGGTTTTTAGGAAAAAAATTTAATTTATGAGTAAAATAAGGTCTGTGGTTAACATTACTCGAAGAGATTGTAATAAATTACACCTATTTTCATACCACATATGTACCACAAATGTGAATTTTGAAATAATTTTTGCTTTAAAAACTACGACTACATGCTATTTTGAACATACTATTTTAAACATTTTCATACTTTACATTTGAGGTACACTACTACACTATCCAAAAGTTTGGGGTCAGTATGATTTCGGTATTTTTATTTTTAATTTTTTTGGGAAAGAAATTAACCCTTTTATTCAACAAGTTACAGTAAAAACATTTAAAATGTATTAAATGATTTCTATATCAATATCAATGCTGCATTTAGAACTGTCTATTGAAAAAGATGTATCACGGTTTCCACAAAAATCTTTTCTGTTAACAATATTGATCATAGTAAGAAGTGTTTCTTGCGCATTAAATCAGTGTATTAGAATGATTTCTGAAATATCATGTGACACTGAAGATTGGAGTAATTGGAGAAAATTCAGCTTTGTCATCACAGAATAAATTACATCTACAGTATATTTAAATAGAAAGTTATTTGACATTTTAATAATATTTCACAATTTAAATGTTTTTGTTATATTTTAATCAACTAAATGTAGCTCTACTGCCTCGAATCACTAAGGAAACATAGTGTTTAAGGAGTAAAACTGTCTGAAACTTACAAAAGTTTATGTCCTTGTTTACCGTCCCTGTAATAGTCAGATGTCTCTCGCCATGTGCTACCGAAGGAAGAGGATCTATATCTTTATTTTCTTTCCCATCCAGCACACATGAAAATTTGCAGGTTTTTTAGACTCAAGGGTGTATGAGACAGATTTTTCTTCATTTTTCAGCCTAACTCGCTGCCAAGCCTGTCTTCTCCCTAAACTACTTTCATATAAATAAACTATATAGTATATTTTTTCAGGAAAACTTCATCTCCTGTCTAATGTATTTTTGTATCTAGATTTTGGCATGGCCTTGCGATCCCATGGGCTCTTAAACATTATCACTTGATATACCATGTAGACTGCAGTATGCATCGCTTCTGCTCGATGGATGAACTTTCAGATCATTGTCAAGGTTTATTTGCACTCTTTTGCTAATGAAGAAATATGAAATGTATATTTGTTTAAGAGGGCTGCCACACAAATAGGCCTACACAACTATATATGTATCTTGCATGTGCTTTAGTATGCTATCTATTCTATTCTAAAGTATTTTTTAAAATCATTATTGCTATTTCGAAGGAGCATAGAATGTATAACTGCAATATACTTACATGGAACAAACTAATTATATTATCTGTCAATTTATTGTTTAAACAAGATGAATGGAACTTTCCCTGAAACAAATAAGGATTTTTTTCTTACCACATATGATATGGGAGCTCATCCAAGCAGACTGCAGTTGCCTTTGAGGCTAAAAGTGATTTTCCTGATGGATGCATTGATAAAAATATTATATAAGGTGTTTTGCACCATAATGAAACTTTTTGAGTGGGTTCTGCACAGTACAAGGTCTTTAGGAGTGCTTTGCCTTTATCTGTGTCAAAAGGATTTATATGCAAACAGACAGTGATTTGTTCTTTTGTTGTCTCTTAGGATTGATGAGGCCAGAAAGTGATCCAAGGTCATGGCTCCAGCTCCGCAGCAGATGAAAGTAAGTGTCCTCCAGGGCGTTCAACATGCTTCTCTTAGACAACCACCAGATGGGAGGAATCGTTCAGTTACATGACCTGACGTTAAATCTGTTGTCTTGGCCTTCTCTCGCTCACTCTCACCCAGACCACATCGCAAACCTGTAAGAATGATGGATTTCTCGAGATCAATTTTTTTTTCTTACACCTTTCTTTCTCCTTATATATTTTGCATGTGTGTTTATTTTTGTTGTGTCAGAACTGTATATTATATAATATGGACTGTGTGGTTTGAATTATATAAATCAGATGGTGTGCTAAATTATTTTCGTAGGCAATAACAAATAAACATGGTACTGAAAAAGATAGATAGATAGATAGATAGATAGATAGATAGAGATTCTACATTTAAATTAGGGTAGAGTGGGGGAAAATGCCCCCCTAAGAACTGTGTAATTTTTTTTTCTGTGAAACAAAAGTTAAATGTGTTCAGAAAAATTATCATAGTTTTAGTGACAATTACATAAATTATAAACCAACTATGAAAAATGTCCAAGAGTTTTCTTGCTATTAGATTTTTAACAAAAATTACATTTGTACCAAAGGGGCGTTTTGCCCACAGACTATGTTTGAGAAAAAAAATTAGGCTGTCATTCTGAAAATATAATTAGCCTATATTTTTCTTAAGTAACACGTGCTCCCTATCTACAGGCCCCACTGTTCTCATATCATATATAACTGTGATGTTCTACAAACATGCTTTAAAACACTTCTTCTTACTGCAGAAAATTAAACATTTACAGTGAAATCCGTTTTCTCTCAGGTACATCACCAGTGTAAGCGGGTAAGCTCATACTTCTACATCACTCTTGTGAAAAATTATCTTTACTAGATTTTTATCTAGACTTTATCTTGTGATTATTTTGGAAAAAACGAAAACGGGGGGGCGTTTTCCCCCGCTCTACCCTAAATGTAATAAATTCAGTTCCGTCTGAAGAAGACTGGTGGCACCAAAGTCTGAGCGAATCACGTCACACTGCTTTGGCCCGCTGTCGCCGCCGTTCGGTGAGGTCGCGCTATTACCCCGCTTCTACACGTGCTTCATGGATATTCATGAGAGAGTGGGAAGGGCTGGTGTCGAGTTTCACTCCAGGAGGTTGAGAGCGTGTGTTGGAAGTGTGGATTCTAGAGTTGGATGCTGTTGTCGATGCTGACGGACTGATTTCATCCTGTCTGCTGCGCTCAGTTTGGAGTCCTTTTGAATTGGCGCAGCGTATTCTGAACTTGACAACAACGGGAAAATACAGAAAACTGGAAATCTACTAGTGGAAGTTGCTGTGGTACGCGAAAGATAACTTGTAGGAAGATGGATATAATCTAAAAGGGATTTTTCTGATACGACATTTCATTTTTGGCTGGTTTTACTGACGTTACGTTGGCACAGACCGGATCGCTATCACTGAAAAGCAAGAACAGATGAGTGTAAGTGTTTCATGGAAAAAGTGCGTCAGTGGCGTTAAACTAACGTTACGACTTTATACTCCATCATGCCGAGACGCGGCAAATTACAACGCTTCCATCGCAGTCAACTCGCGCGCTTATGGCAAGCTGGCTTAACATTTATTCGTTAAAACTGACGTGTCTATTTTGATGTTAGTAGTACTTATATTTGGTCTAGTAATGAATACTTTAATAAGCCTAACTTGGATCACTTGGATATTTGTACTCCTTTATAATGACTACATATTAACTAATAAATTGCAGTTTTAAATAAAGCAATTGTAATAATGAGATTACAAAAAAATATGTACAATTGGGATAGACCATAGTATGTGAAAAATATGTACTTGTATAGAAGTGTATAGCCTAGATAGTTGGAATAGATAACTAAACAACAAGACCTGTTATTCATTGCTGGTAAAACTGAAATGGGAAACATGAACAATTGGAATACATTATTAGTACAAATATTTACTAAGTTATTTGTCACCATTGGGTTACTTATTAGTCGTTAAAACATTAGTAACATAGTAACAGATGCTAGTTAGTTTTTAGGAATAAATGTGTAGGCAGCTTGCCATAGTCGTTTGCAGAACGACTTATTGGACTAGAATGGAAGCATAATGTCAGATTTTATCACTATGCATGCTGGGTAGCTTTAATATACAGAAAATACATTTAGAATTTCTAATTTCTGTAAACACTGAAATCACTGCACTAATTGATCACTTATCTAGCTAGGAAGCCCACAGACATGCACTATGTAGTGTTTCATGTGCAATCCAAAACTGAGATGAAACCATTGAGATATCAGGGAGAAGTTGTGATTCAAACTTGAGTGCATTGTTTCTTAGTTACAGTTTTATTTTGGATTCAATGCATCAAGTTAGTTGTTTGCATCTGTAGTTTAGTGCAGTTTGTGTGCACTCTACAGTATGATATGAATTGATTTATCAGTGTTTCCCCTAGGTTTATGGCTTTGGGGGGGGGGGGGGGG